TTCATATAACAGCATAAGAGAAAGACAGAAGGTTGACTAGTGGGTACTGAACAGATGAAGAGAAAACGCTCTAAAAATTACCATGGTGATGGTGGTACACACCTATGAGTGCACTGAAAATCATTACTAAGATACAATTTATGTAGCACTCAAATCCTGAGTTATGCACTTTAACTCAAGGCTTTGAGTGCTACATGAATTATATTTTAAAAAAGCAGTTTTTAAAAGAAAAGTTTGGATCTTGTGCTAAAGAAAACTGAGACAAAAATTAGTTATTTTATGAAAGGTGGAGACAGAAGGAGAAAAAGGTCAAAAGAATCTAAAGAAACTTGAAATAGTTTTGCAAGCATGAGTAGGCTCCTCCCTTGGTCTTGTTTTCTAATTCTTATTTTCTGTAGAATTCCGTCACACAGTCAAGCCTTGAGCCCTAATGACATATTACCTGTATTGCAGAGTCAGCCGCTGAATACATAATTTGATATAAACCAAATTTAAAAAGAATAAGTGCATAGAAATCATTTATTTGAAGTTCTGCTACTGATCAGTTAACTATAATTGGTTTTAACTTTGAAAGAAAATGGAGCTTTGACTGCTCACTTGCCTTCGAATCCTTTGCAAACCTGCTGAGTGTCTTACCAAGTACCTCCTACAGGAAGGATCCTTCATACTCACAAAGGAGGGAAAGCTTTTTTTTTTTTTGCGGAACCGGGGATTGAACTCAGGCCCTTGCACTTGCCAGGGAAGCGCTTATTCCACTGAGCCATCTCCCCAGCCCTGGGAAAGCTTTAAGTCAACAAAAATTAAATATCTAGAATCCTCTTTTAAGTTATAGTTTTTGCTGTCCTTTTTCTTACTATCAATTTGTCATTATCTCTTCCTTCTTTCCTTTCTTTCTTTCTTCCTGCCTTCCTTTCTTTCCTTCTTCTGCTTTCTTTTTTTTTCTTCCTTTTTTTTTTTTTTGATACAGGGTATCACTATGCAGTTTGGACTCATTGTGCTCCTCCTGTCTCAGCCTCCCCAGGAATGGGATTAAAGGCATTCACCACCATGCCAGGCAGACCCGCTCAGCTTGCCTGCAGTTCTGGGCCTGGCATGGCAAGTGGTGCCAGGGATCTAACCAGAGGCCTTGCCCTTGTCAGCAGGCACTTATGCTGTTGTGCTATCTCCCCAGACCCAGAATTTTATTCTTAAGGATTGGTGTTAACATTATATAGCCCTCTCCCTTGGGTAAGCAAAAAACTCATCTGCCCAGCTAAACCAGGATGAAGTCAGGGTGTTTTTTGTTTGTTTGTTTGTTTGTTTTCTGGGGCGTCTTCTTAGGATGCAATTTTTCTGACTTCTTTAAGAGCCTCTGTTCAGGAGGACATTGGGATATTTGCGATTCACATGCCTTATCCAACAACGGGAACTACCAGTATCACGGTCACTGGTTTTCAAAACGAGATTGTTTATCCCTCATTTAACCATGTATTAAATTCAGCAAATTTACATTAAGGTTTGCTTATGATAAGATGAACACTGGCGAATGCTGGTGTTACAGAAACAAAACAAAGCCCTTTCCTCCTGGAGTTCACAGTTCAAAGGCCAAAGACCGAGAGTCAGTGGGACAAAGCACGAGGCTATGTGGCATAGAATACCTGGTGAGAAGGTTAGTAAACACAGACAGAACAATACTGAACCGCACTGCAAAAAGTTGGGGTATGTGCTGCTTCCGACAAAGCTGGAGTACCCGTATGAGGGTACATATCCCGGAGGGAAGCTGCAGAATGCTGCACTGACAGGCATGGCTTCTGCAAAGTGGGCCCTCTTGGGAATGAACGCCCAGATCGCTGCACTCTATTCTTCCCCACAGACCTAGGCCAAGAGATGGATTTCAGTACATTAAATTCTGACTTCCACATTATGAGGTTCACAGGAAGCCATCGGGTCATTTTCTTTGAAAACATGATAACATTTGAACATTTTTATGAGGGGACTTTACTGCATGCGAATCCAGATCTTTCTCCAGATCAGGGAAGGAACAGAACAGAAATGGGTGTCTTCAGCTTTCTCTTCTGTATGTCTGTCTGCAGTGAGGCAGGCAAGCGGCCCACTTCCACTGCAAACACCAGTGTGATGTGGCAAACACAACGTGGAATATACAAGCACCTGCACGGCGAATGTTGCTGACTCCAGAGCAGAATTCCAAGGACATTTGAAGTTAAGCCAGGCAGAATTGGTGTCTGCAGATTCTCCTCTGGAGAGAAAGCAGACTCTCCAGTCCTGTTATATTTAGCTGTGGACTCCTATGTATCAACTACCTTGTATATTAAATAAACACCCTCCGTTGACATAATCTCTTGCAATGTATGAAGACATATAACAAACATCATTTTGTAGGACAAATCTATGCTAAGAAGATCAAGTGTTCTCCTGACTGAGGAGGGCATCGAAGTCTGCCATGATCAATACTCCAGATAGTAAGTAAAAGAGCAAGAACTGGCCCTTAGGCTTTTGAGCTTTGAATTCATAACCTAGAGCTAAGTTTTTATACAGAATATGATTTTATTTTTATTTTTACCATAAGTCAAGACACCCAGAGCTTTAGCTCAAGGTTGCTACTGGGCTAATGGCATTGGGGAGAATTGAAGTCTTTCTGTATCTGCTTCATGTCTTACATCAGAGGCCTTTGTCCCCAGGAGTGTCCCTTTTACTTGACATTTCAGACTTGAAGCTTGTTCTCTGGCAAGGAAGTGAGTGAATGAGGTACAGGGACAAGAGAGGTGAGTGCTGATTCTGGTCTCTTTCCAACAGGTCTATAAAAGCTTTTCCACAGCCCCACTCAGAGGCCTCGTTTTGACACCTGCTTGGCCCCACTCTCTTGTCACGCCTAGCTGGAAGGCACCATATGATAAGAGGATTTCACCTCTGGGTTTCAGCAGTAGAAAAAGGAAAAGGGGATCTTGAATGGTCTCAGGTAAGGCAACCTCTGACTATGACTAGCCCTGAGCTATAGGAGGCTGACATTTTCAATAATGTACCTTAATTCTTATTAGATATAAATGATTGTGTGGAAGAGGTCTGGTAGAAGGAGGAGAAAAAGGGTCACAATGTGTCAATATTCTAAGTAAAAGCACAGTTTCATGGTCTTATTCCAGCTTTGATGTTTTTTACCAGAGATTACACAATTATCTGATTCTTCCAATTTCTCACTAATATAGCTATTCTATAGTTATTTTCGTTTAGTGTATGTTTTTGTACTCTTTCTGCTTTTACATTTTAATAGCAATTTTTATTTTATTTTTTATTAATTTTATTGAGAAAGAAGTAGCAATGAGACAGTTTCAAAACAAATTAGTAGGACAGTTACAATAATTAATACATTGCATATTGTTGTCTTTGTAGTAGTTATTCTTAGTACAAGATACAGACATGACATCTTGTCTAAACACTATTAGTTCAAAATTTTCTTCTCA